AGAGAGAGGAAGGGCAAGGGAGAGAAAGAGAAACATCTGTCAATCAGCTGCCTCCTGCATGTCCCCCACCAGAGATGAAGCCTGCAACCTGGGCATGTGCCCAGACCAGGAATTGAACTGGCGACCTCTCGGTGCATGGGACCATGTTCAACAACCTGAGCCACCAGACTGGCCAGGGCTATTCTCTCTCTCTTTAAAGGGGTGATGGTGGGTAACCATCATTCAATGCCTATTCTGCTTCTGTGTTGGGCCTTCCTCTCTCCATCTCTCCATTTCTCTATGCCCTACATTCTCTCTCTGCCTTTGGATAATAAAAACAACAATAGCAGGATCATTTATTAAGTACCTAAACATGGCCCAAGCACAACGTTAGTCATGTTACACACGTTTGAATCAAGTCCGCCGAGGTCTTGCAGCCGAGGTATTATCATCCCGTTTGACAGAGATTCTGGTGCTCACGAACATTGCCCAGCCAGTGCGGTCAGTAGTTGAGTGCCAACCCATGCACAAGAGGTCAGAGGTTCCATTCCTGGTCAGGACCCATGCACTGGGTTGCGGGCTAGATCCTCAGCAGGGGGCGTGGAGGAAGCAGCCAATGGATGTTGATGTTTCCCTCTCATCAATGCTTCTATATCCCTCATTCTCCCTTTCTCTATCTCTCTCTCTCTCCAAAATCAATGATAAACAACAACATTAAGCAAGTTCCCAAGATCATGTGGCTTTTGAAGGCATCAGAACTAGTAAATCTGCTGGACTTCAACTCCACTAACACAATGTAAATAAGTGATGGCCTCAGAGTTTGGAATAACACATGTCTCTAGTAAAACATGATAGCCAAAAAACAAACAAACAAACAAACAAACAAAATAAAACAAAACAAAAAAACACATGATAGCCGAGACCAGTTTGGCTCAGTGAATAGAGCGTCAGTCTGCGGATTGAAAGGTCCCGGGTTCGATTCCAGTCAAGGGTATGTACCTTGGTTGCAGGCACATCCCCAGTGGGGGGTGTGCAGGAGGCAGCTGGTCGATGTTTCTCTCTCATCGATGTTTCTAGCTCTCTATCCCTCTTCCTTCCTCTCTGTAAAAAATATTTAAAAAACAAAACAAAATGCTGAAACTGGTTTGGCTCAGTGGATAGAGTGTCAGCCTGTGGACTGAAAGGTCCCAAGTTCGATTCCAGTCAAGGGCATGTTGAGGGCACATCCCCAGTAGGGGGTGTGCAAGAGGCAGCTGATCAACGTTTCTCTCTCATTGATATTTCTAACTCTCTATCCCTCTCCCTTACTCTCAGTAAAAAAATCAATAAAATATATATATTTTTAAAAATGATATGCCCTCATCTCACCAGCCAGATTCACTGACGGCTAGTGTCATCGGTGGAGGTTACACACTCGGAGGAGGGGACACTGGTGGGCTGTGCCATCCAATCCAGGGGCAGGAAGACAAGTAAAAGGACTTCTCAGAGCCCTTCCTGCTTGCCTCTCCGTCCCCATCTCAGTCTTCTGGTCCCAGACCTGTTTCAGCATCTCTGTCGCTCCGCTCAGCAGAAGCAATAATGTGACGTGATGTGATGTGATCACATCCGGGAGCTAAATAAAGCCATTGTGAGGCCCGGCCCTGGCGGGTCCCTGCACCATTTCCTGCGCCTGGAGGCTGGGGGCTGGGAGAGAGAGCGAGTAGAAGGGGAGGGAAACCAGCACAGCCATGGGCACCCCCAGCCTGAGATTCAGAAGACGGAGGAGGAATATATCGCTGGGAGGGGGCTGAGGAAAACTCCTCTCTTTGCAGGACAGAAGGAAATGATGGGCATGAAAACATGGACAGGTGGAATTTAGGAAACAGGAAGAACTCTGAGAAATGGAATGAGGATAAGGAGGACAAGGAGGAAGAGTTCCATGGATTCCGTTTTCCCAGAGGGCAGAGGCAATGAATGGAATGGCAGAGGTGCTGGGGGAAAGGGCAGGTCCTTCTGAGGAGGCCGAGTCCAGTTGTTCTGAGGTGTGAGAGGAAGGGTGGCATCTCAGGACATACGGATCTCAGGATCAGATCTGTCCTTCCGTCAGCCAGGGGGTAGGGTGCCATATCTAGCAGGTGCATCCCCAGGAAAAGGGGGAAAGGAAACAGCTTCAGTTCACTGCATCTCATTGATCTTGCCAAATGCAGCCTTGTGGTCGGAACGGGGCCCAAGACAGCAGAGAGAGGCTGGGTACAAGGGGTGTACCCCAAGCAGCGTTTCCTCTTTCATGAGGTCACTGAATGCCAGACCCAAGATTCTCACAGTGCCCACTCCGTGCCCCTCGGGGTCTGTCCTGTTCCCAGGCCCATTCCTCTTCCTCAGGAGCACTTCCGGTTCCTACTCTCCTCTGCACTCCTGCTTCTCACAAGACTTTTTGTGAATCCTCTTGACCCCACTCCCCCACCCCCCACATAGCTTTGGAAACCACTGGTTGGCAGGGACTGGTTCCTGGCCCTCAGACTCTGTCCTGCTCCCTGCAGATCGGCCCATCCTGTTTGCAGCAGCACCTCCGATGGCAGGAGGCCCAAGTCTGATAACAAGGAGAGAGGCCTGGCCGGTGTGGCTCAGTGATTGAACCAAGAGGTCGCCGGTTCACTTCCCAGTCAGGGCACATGCCTGGGTTGTGGGCTCCATCCTAGTCAGTGGGGGCCGTGCAGGAGGCAGCCAATCAATGACATTTCTATCTCTGTTTCTCTCTCTCCCTTCCCGCCGTCTCTAAAAACCAATGAAAACATTAAAAACAAAACAAGGCTGAAGCTGGTGTGGCTCAGTGGATAGAGCGTCGGCCTGCGGACTGAAAGGTCCTGGTTTCAGTTCCGGTCAGGGGCATGTACCTTGGTTGTGGGCACCTCCCCAGTAGGGGGCGGGGGTGGTGGTGGTGGGGTGCAAGAGGCAGCTGATCGATGTTTCTCTCTCATAGATGTTTCTAATTCTCTCCTTCTCTCTTCCTCTCTGTAAAAAAAATCAATAAAAATATGTTATAAAAATAATAAAAACAAAACAAGGAGAGAGAGGATCTCTCTCGGTGGCTGCTGAGAGGTGCCCTCTGCATTGCTTTCAGATGCTAAGGCCACGGACGGGCACAGGCCTTCCCTAGGCCTCTCCTCCGTTTTCCTTAGACTCACCCAGAGAATGCCACTGCCCAGGCCTGAGCCCTGGTCTCCTTGCTTCCCCGGGGTGGACAGGCACATTCTCAGCGGGCCTGGGGCGGGCGGGGCAGTGACCAGGTGGAAGGGAATATGGTCGAGGGGACAATTTTCAACCCTCTAGACTCTCCTGGGCGGGGTGGGCACTCAGATCGCCTGGAGAGGCTAGCCGCCTGCACAGACAGCTTGGGGGGGCGGGGGGCCCAGCTCTGACTCACCGCTTCCTGGTCCTCCGGGTGCTCCCAGCACCTCAGTAGTGTGTGTGTAGGGAGTGGAGGGGGAGTTTCCAGGGGAAGGGGAGCCTGGGAGAGGGACTGGGCTCGGAAGCCAGGTGCTCAGAGGTATGCCATCAACGGGAGCTCCCCCTCTCCCCCTGCCCTCCCCTCACCACCCCGTTCTCTGGTATTTGGTCCTTCTTCCTGGAATGGGCTTATCACTCCCAACTGTAAGGGCACCTGAGGGTTCTTATCTCCCAGACACAGGGAGGCCAGCCCTGGTGGCAGCCCAAGTGCGGGCAGTGAGAGCAATGTCCACCTGGGAGAGAGAAGGAGCTGCACGTCGGATGGTGGAGCCCTGCTCTTTGCTCCGTGCAGGAGGCCATCGTGGTGTGGTTACTCCCCTGATGACCAGGCATAACCTCTCCTCCCTCAGGAACCTTTTCTTCCTGCTTTTATCTGCCTGGACGCCTCCCTCTCCAGGGTGGCACTCCACCCCTCCAAGCCCATCTCGAAGGCTATCTACTTCCTCCTGTTTCCTTAAAAAAAAAATAATATATATATATATATATATTATACACACACACACACACACACACACACACACACACATATATATATATATATATATATATATATATATTATTGATTTTTTTAGAGAGGAAGGGTGAGGGATAGAGAGTGAGAAACACCAATGAGAGAGAAATATCTATCAGCTGCCTCCTGCACATCTACTGGGGATGTGCCCGCAACCAAGGTATTATACATGCCCTTGATAGGAATCGAGCTTGGGACCTTTCAGGCTGCAGGCCGACGCTCTATCCACGGAGCTAAACCAGTCTGGGCCTGTTTCCCTTTTTTTGAGTCCTCCAACTGGGTATATGCACTCATTCCTTTGATGGCACAAAGACTTTCGTTACAACTTCTCTCGTGGCATCTGGCATACTCTGACCAGTCAGTCATCTGTGCACACACACTCACACGCACACGTGCACATGTGTCACTCACTAGACTGTGAATTCCTCGAGGACAGGAACAATATCTGTCTCTTGGCTTGGCTTGGCTTCCTGCCACGGAGGTGCTCACTAAATGGAACAGCAGAGTGGCGAGGATGGCATTCTGAAATGGAGAGAACACTGGACTGGGAGTCAGAAAGCCCAAGCCCCCTGCCCTAACCGGTTTGGCTCAGTGGATAGAGTGTCGGCCTGTGGACTCAAAGGTCCCAGGTTCGATTCTGGTCAAGGGCATGTACCTTAGTTGCAGGCACATCCCCAGTAGGAAGTGTGCAGGAGGCAGCTGATCAATGATTCTCTCTCATCGATGTTTCTAACTCACTATCCCTCTCCCTTCCTCTCTGTAAAAAATCAATAAAATATATATTTTTTTAAAAAATCAATAAAGTATATTTAAAAAAATAAAAAGAAAGAAAACCCAAGCCCCGGACCTGGCTCTGCAGGGAATTCCTGGCGTGCTGCTCAGCCAGCCGCTCCCCGATGCCGGGCCTCTGGGAGGGAAGGGCCTGGCTGACTGTGACACCTTCCTAGCTCCAGGTTCCAGGGTTCTAGAACTCTGCTCACCCTTCTCCATCTTCTTGACTCAGACTGGCCTGCGTGTGCCTTCCATGAACAGAGACGTCCCAGAGGCGCCCCGCACGGGTGGAGACCTGGTGCCCCAGCACCGCACTCGCCGCTGCCTGTCTGCGGTTGAATCCAGAGAGCAGCTGGAGGAAGAGGAGGAGGAGGAGGAGGAGGAGGAGGAGGAGGAGGGGAAAAGGGAGGCGAGAGATGGCTTCCATGCAGTAGCGCTCCGAAGATCGGGGGCTTTTCGTGCCCATCACCACAGCTATGACCCCCTCAAAAGACACAGCTGGGGGCCGGACGGGGAGCACCAGGATCCTCTGAGCAGGTAAATCCCGGGGCCTCCTGTCCCGTCTTCCCTGAAGTCCCAGCCCTGGTTCAAAAGGAGTGACTCCCTCCTTCCTCCTCCGGAGGCTCAGGACCAGGCCTCGGAGAGCCCTTGGGAAAGATGGACCCTGCCTTTCAACCTGTGGCTTTCCCTGGTGTTTCTGGCTCCTTCTTTCTCCCTGGTCTCCAGGCAGGGGCGGTGGGAGCAGAGAAGGGGAGGTACAGGGTTGGGGTATCAGGACACTTGGTCTTGTTGCTTCCATCTCCTACTTTGGATTTAAAAGAACCATACAGCCCTCATACAAACCTCTATCCACCGGTTTGGCTCAGTGGATAGAGCGTCGGCCTGGGGACTGAAAGGTCCTGGGTTCGATTCCGATCAAGGGCATGTACCTTGGTTGTGGGCACATCCCCAGTGGGGGGTGTGCAGAAGGCAGCTGATGGATGTTTCTCTCTCATCGATGTTTCTAACTCTCTATCCCTCTCCCTTCCTTTCTGTAAAAAAAAAAAAAAAAAAAAAAAGAGTCATACAACAGTTCAGTGCTGGAAGGGACTCGGGGATCATATGGCCCTGTTTCCTCATTTTGCAGATGAGGAAACAGGCCCAGAGAACTGTGGGAGGTTTCTTGAGAGAAGTGGTTCTAGGGTCGGGGCAGGGACCAGCCCCTTTCCCAAGGGGCTGCCTCCTGCTGCCTCCTGGCTGGCTCCAGGCTGAGGCCGACTCGAGATGTCTGGGGCATCCTAGTGCAGCCCGCCATGAGAGCAGAGTGGGTCTGTGCAGAGGTCTGTGTGTGCCTGGCAGACCAGAAAAGAGGGACCCATCTCCCCCCCCCCCCGCCTGGAAAATCCCTGACCACTTCCCCCCAAGCAGAGGAAGTCAGAGCGAGGAGGCCCAGGGTCAGCATGAAGAGTGCAGGGTGAGTGGTCATTGTGAGCGCCCGCTGGCGATGGCAGGGCCCTGTCTCTCGGCCCTGGCCCTGGCAGCGGTTCCCTTGCACAGGTTCTCTTAGCTCCGGTGAGTACACCAACCTCTTCTAGCTCTTGGGCCAATGAGGGGAGAGGGCCCTGCGCCTCGGGCCAGAACTGGAGCAAAAAGCCTTGCCCTCAGGGCTCATGGCACTTGCCTCAGAGCAGCCTGTTGGAGGCGGAGATGCCGTGGGTACGCCTTCTGTGGTGCTCGCTGAACCCCAGGCCTCCCAGGGGTCTCCTTTCGCTGCCAGGCATTAATTCTGCCCCCTGGGTAGAGAGAGAAGGGGTCTCTGGATACATCACCTAGGTGAGCAGGGGCAAAAGTTGTCTTTAGAAAGCAGGCAGGCCGTGAGGATCCAGCTTGCTCTTTGCCTCCCTCCAGGCCAGTGGAGGGCAGTACTGCCTGAAGACCACCAGGGGTCACCCTTGCCTGCAGCCAGCTCTGCCGCTCTGCCGAAGCACAGCTCCGGAGAGAGGGAGGCCAGATTGAGTCAGGGCTGTGCCTATGCCAACAGGAAGGGTTGGGCTGGGGGCAAGCAACAGGGCTGGGCCCAGGCAGCTTTCCTCCCTTGTGCCCATCACCGGCCGTTGGATACAGAGGGCAGTGGTGGCAATGTGTGTTTCAGGAGCAAACTGCAGGCACCGGGATGCGCCGGGGCCCAGGAGGCTGCCTCACTGCAGAGCCAAGAGGACCTGGGCACGTTTCTGGGACCGCAGCGCCAAGGTGGCCCGCCTTCCAGCGTGGTATGGACAGACACACTCCCAGGGAGCCCCCCCTCCTCCCCTTCCCGCCCGCCCCTCGCCGTTGTTCCAGCCATCCCTCTGTGCCTCTTCTGTTCTGCCAGCTGCTGGGTCTCCCCGTGCCCAGGCACCACTCCGTCCGACTGGCTCTGAATCTCCGGTCTGTGCCCCTCTGTCTGCTCCCCGCGTCTGCGTGCTGAGCACCCCGCTCTGGGTTGCCTGCCCCTGTCTCTTTTTCTCTAAGACTCTCTGTTCCTTCCTTCCTGGGTCTGCGTCTCCATGCTGATGTAGGAATCTCCATTCCTCTCTCATGAAAAGGCCCCTGTTCCCCTAATGGTTACAACCGCTTCTCAGACTTGAAGCTGAACTTACTATCTGCGGGATGAGACTGGGTATCTGGTACCCTGAGCGACAATAGCTCTCCAGCGAGATCATCAGGAGAATTCTCCTTGGGAATATAGAGATGGCCCAGGCTTCTGGCTTCAGGGCACAGGACTGGGGGTTCTCAAACCCACAGACCACGGAGGGTGCACCAGGGCTGTCGAGACCCCGCTAAGAGGGCCTCACAGAAATGTCTCAAGCCCCGTGACTAAGAGGCTGCCTCCCTTCCAGCTCTTCCTCCCGCCGGCCAAGGGGCCCAGCCCCAGCCTCCTTTTCCGGGGCCTGTGGGTGGGAGAGGCCGAGAGAAAGGAGCTGTTCCATGCTCAGCCTATTGGGGGAGCAGCAGGCCCAGCTCACCCCTCGCCCACTTTCCAACTTCCTTGCCTCCATGTCAAAGTGGCGTGATAGAAAGAACAGGGTTTCCGAGTCAAACTGACTCCTGGGTCCTTCCTTTACCAGCTGAACGCTTTATTTCATCTTCCCGAAAACCAGGATAATAAAAACGACCTTTTAGAGGTGTGATTCTTAGAGGACACAAAGTTGTGCAAGTGCCTAGCACAGAGGCTGGCATGCAGGATGAGCGTGAGAAATAACAGTTTCTCTTTCCTCTTCTCTTCCCCATTCCTTCAGCCTGCTTTTCCTCCCTCCTGCCTTTCTCTCCTCCTGCCCTCTTCGCCCCTGATCAGTACGAGATGTCTTTTTTCCCCCCGTGAGCGACAGCGGGCAGCGGGGCAATGTGTTTTTCTCTGCCTTCCTGCTCTGCTGCCCCTCCTCTCGCCATCCAATCTCTAAGCAATCCCCTTATATTTCTCCTTCTCTATATGTTTGGGGTCTTTTTGGCTTTTCCTGTAATAGCAAGTGGATATATGTTCTTTACCAAAGTCCACAGACAAAAAGTCTGAGGCGCCTTAAGCTAGACGAGGGCTTGCAGACTGAGGGCCCAGGAGCCGGATCTAAGCTCCAAAATTTGTTTTGTTTGGCCAGCCTGGCGCTTGTACTTTTAAACAGTCAGATGTCCTTAAATGGGACCTGTGCTCTCTCTCCAGTTTGCCAGAGTGGTTAATTCTGTCCCTTGCCTTTTTTTCACTTATCTTTTATTTAATTTATTTTAAAAATAGCCTCAGTTTCCTTGCTTAAAATTTTCAGATAAGCCAAAACTGGTTTGGCTCAGTGGATAGAGCATTGGTCTACAGACTGAAAGATTCCAGGTTCAATTCCGGTCAAGGGCATATACAGTGGGTGTGTGTGTGTGTGTGTGTGTGTGTGTGCAGGAGGCAGCTGATCAATGATTCTCTCTCATCAATGTTTTTTTCCTTTTTTTTTAATTGAGTTTTTACAGAGAGGAAGAGAGAGGGATGGAGAGTTAGAAACATTGATGAGAGAGAAACATTGATCAGCTGCCTCTTGCACACCCCATACTGGGAATGTGCCTGCAACCAAGGTATATGCCCTTGACGGAAATCGAACCTGGGACCTTTCAGTCTGTAGGTAGACACTATCCACTGAGCCAAACCGGTTTCAGCTCTCATTGATATTTCTAATTCTCTATCCCTCTTTCTTCCTCTCTGTAAAAAATCAATAAAATATATATTTTTAAAAATTTTAAAAATATATTTTTATTGATTTCAGGGAGAAAGAGAGATAGAAACATCAACGATGAGAGAGAATCATTGGTCAGCTGCCTCCTGCATGCCCCACACAGGGGATTGAGTCCACAACCCGGGCATGTGCCCTGGACCAGGAATTGAACAGTGACCTCCTGGTTCATAGGTGGATGCTCAACCACTGAGCTACACTGGCTGGATCATTTGTCTTTTAAATATAATATTTAAAAATGAATGCCCAGTAAATCAACCACCCATCTCAAGAACTAGAACATCGCCAATACATTTATCTTTACTTATGTCTCCCTCTCCTATTCCCTTGGCTCCCCTAGAGGCAATCACTATCTTGATTTTTTTCTTTATCATTCACTTAATTTTTAAAATAGTTTTAACACAAATATTATACATGCATCCCTTAATATTACATTATTTTTTCTTGCTTCTGAATTTAAGAGCAATGATGTTATAGTCTACACATTTTTCTATAATTTTCATCCAACGTTCTGTTTCTGATTTTTATTCCTGTGTTGCAAAAAGTTATAGTTCATTCGCTTTCATTTCGTTCTTCTGTGGATGGACATTTGGGTAATTTCCATTCTTTGCCATTATGAAGCACACTACTATGAAATCATCACCATAATAAAAGAATGAAAAGGTTCCCACCAGAGTGGATTCTTACGCTCATGCTGGACGTATGCGGTGTGCTAGCTGGATGTTTGGGCTTAGAGAGCACAACCAGACAGGCCTCACTTGCCTCCTGCAAAGCACCAATCGCTGCGCTCTGGGAGCGCAGATGTTTTGAAGTCCTGACTGGACGGGACGTTTGCAAATCAGAAGTTCAGTGGACTTCCGATAACATCTGATATTTCACCAAGCGCCTCAGAACCAGGCCTGTAGCGATGAGGTTTCTCCACCCCTCCGGTAGAGGGCGCACCCTTTGAGTGGCTTTGGTAGCCAGCTGCTTTGCTACGGGTCAGTTGGCGGGCAGTCTGCTTTGTAGGAGCGATGCTATCGAGCCCTCTTTACTTACCCGCCTCCTCCTTGGAGTGGAACTCTGAGAGTCAGAGGCTGCATGGATACTAGAGAGCAAGGGCTGCAAACACCAGCTTGTCTTTCTCTTACCGATTTGTAGAAGTCCTTCATCTATTCTGGATTTGAGTCTTTTGTCAGATATGTGTATTGTGGAATATTTTTTCCCAGTGGGCATTTTTACTTTAAAAAAAAAAAGTATTTTTATTGATTTCAGAGAGGAAAGGAGGAGGAGAGAGACATCAATGATGCAAGGGAATCATTGATCGACTACCTCCTGCACACCCCACACTGGGGATCGAACCTGCAGCCTTGGCATGTGCCCTGACCAGGAATTGAACCGTGACCTCCTGGTTGATGCTTAACCACTGAGCACACTGGCCAGGCTATCAAAGATTCTTCATTCAATCTACTGGAAAGGGACTTCTGGGTTGTTTCCTATGATTTCTATGACAGATTATTTGAAATTATTAAAATGTGCCTTATGGCCTAATACTTGGTCCGATTTGTGATGCTCCACGTAGGCTTAGGATAAAGGTATTTTCTAATGGTTGGGCATGTGGTTTACAAATGTTCTTATTCCTTATCGTCTTACACCCAGAGGCCCTCAGTTTTCCTCATTCCATGTCTGCCTCCATAGGTTGAGTCTGTCATCTCTGGAAACCATTCAGGGTGAATTTTTTCTGGGACGTTCTCTGACTTAAGGAAGCCTGGGCTTGAGCTGCACAGAGTGGTGACTAGTAACCAGCAGAAGAGCCTCCCAGTTATTTCCATGGAACATCCCAGATATGGGTCGTGATGGGGGAGGGGGTGAAAGGCTTGAGGCCCCGAAGATGGGCCGTGTGGTGCGGGAGAGTGAAAAGCATGGGGAGTAGCCGAAATCGGTGTGGCTCAGGGGATAGAGCGTCGGCCTGTGGACTCAAGGGTCCCGGGTTCGATTCAGGTCAAGGGCATGTACCTTGGTTGTGGGCACATCCCCAGTGGGGGGTGTGCAAGAGGCAGCTGATGGATGTTTCTCTCTCATCGATGTTTCTGACTCTCTATCCCTCTCCCTTCCTGTCTGTAAAAATTCAGTAAAATATATATTTTTAAAAAAGGACAAAAGGAAAAGAAAAGCATGGGGAGCAGGGGAGATGGACGAAGCCTGAGGATTCTCGCTGTGATTCCAGGCCCAGGGTTCCTGCCGTCCACCTGCTGGCCCTTCGGACCCCTCAGCCACCGGCATGCTTTCCAAGTCTGTTTCCATGAGTGGCATCAACTGCTTCTCCGGCAGCTCAGGCCCCGCTGGTGAGTCAAAGCGGGGAGCCAGGCAGAGGTAGCCCCCCGGCCTGTCTCACCGCCCCTCCTCGGGGTGAGCGGTGTAGGGTTCAGCTATGTCCTGGGTTAGATCGAACTGTCATTTGGAAACCCCAACATGCCTTTGTGTACACGAGAGATTTGCATTCAGGACGCCGGCGTTCTGACACCCTCCTTCCAGCGGAGGAGAGCATGGGACACCTGAGGCTCTCCGCCCGCCTTGTCACCGGAGAGGGAGGGCAGTTAACTGCAATCACCCGTCCTCAGGATGAGGCATTGGGAGCTCGCTGTGAAACCTCCGTCCGCCCCCTTCTCCAGGGACATGACGGAGACTCTGGGTCCTCAGCCCCCTTCTGCACAGCACCCCGTGCCCCGTTCCCCTGGCTCCCAGGTTCTCGGGCTCTGCCCAGACCCCGCCCCTGCCCGCTCCCCGGAGCTCGCCCTGGGAATGGGGATGGCATCACAGGCACCTGCAGCTCGGGAACCTGATCCAGGTGGAGGGGGCGGGGGAGGCCGCCCTGGACGCCTTTGTCTGGCTTCCGCCGGACACTCCTCGTCCCCTTTTGTGTTGGCAGGAAATCTATCCCAGTCCTCTGCTGCTAACTTCAGCCAAAGGTGAGTTCGGGGGAGATTCGGAGTCCCTCGAAGGCCCGGGTGGGGCCGGGGCATTGCTCCCCTTAACGTTTCCGATCGAAGACCTCCCAGTATCTTCCTCCCTGAGCTGCCTACAACTGACCCGGGGAAGGCTCCGGAAGGTTCTGGGAGCCCGAGGGTTGGTGACAAAATTTAAAGAAAGAACCGGAGTACCCAGACGACAGGGTGTCGGTTAAATAACAGGGTGAGCGTTCATGGTCACTGCCAGAAAGGTGAGCGGGCAGAGGGGCTGCTGGGCAGGACAGTCTCAGGGAGAGACAGTGACCAAGGACCACGAGTCCCCTTTGATGGCTCAGGCAACTGGCCGATGGGCAGTGGCTCTGGAGAGGGCGAGGCTGAGGCACCGTTCAGGAATCCCGGCGAAGGCTGGGAGGTTTCATGGCCCACGTCCATCAGCGTGCAGAATCGGCACCTGTTCACTTGGCTGCCGCCGCGGCCTGCTGGGGCGGGTCAGCCCTCTCAGCCGGGGCGGGCGTGAGAGCTCGCGATGGCCCTTTAAGATCTGCGGTCCCAAAAGCTCTGGCTGACACATCCTCCTGGCTCCGGCTTTGGGATTAGCTCATGGGATGGGGCTGATGAAATCCCAGGAAATTCAGTCCTCATTGGCGTCAGGCCCAGAGGCCCTTTCCGAACAGAACAGCAGAGGGGGTCCTACACAGTCCTCTTTTAGGAGGGAAAATGCCATCCCGGCAGCAGAGCTCCCCCCCATCCCGCTTCCGCTGGGAGCAGCCCCAGGGAGAAGATTGGGCCTGGATGGAGGAGGAGGAGAGTCTGCGTGTATCTGGGAGGAGCCTGGAGTTCCCTCATAAATAGAGGGGCCTGGGAAACCAGCCCTGCACATGCAGGACGTCCTAGGAGGTGGGGGTGGGGGGTATCTTTCCTCTGAGCCCCTCCTTTCCCTTCCTTACCCTTTTCCTGAGTCTTTCCCCTCAGATCTCCCCTTCCTTTCTCCTTATTATCATGGCGCCCCCTCCACCGTCTCGCTGGGAGTATCTTTTCACCTCGTCCCTCTCCTTCCGCAGCTGCAGCCATCTGGAACGGGGTTCCAACACCTGGGTTGGCTCCTCCCTGCGGCGAACCTTCAGCTTCCTCTTGGGCATGACGGGCAAGGCCAAGGTAAGAGGCAGCTGGGGAAGCAGGCGGCCGGGAACCCCCAGCCCCTCCTCCCCATCCCGGGGGACAGAGGCTCAGGGCCATGTTCATGTTTTAAGGGAACACACGCTCTCTCTCCCAGCCTTCCTCTGTTTTCCCCAGGGCTGCAGCTAGGCAGCCAGCTGTGGACAGCTGGGAGAGACGGCCAGGAGCCTCAGCAGCTGCAGGGTGGACCAACCCTCCTTTTCTGTAGGCCTCACATAGCTAAGAGGTGGGCAGCAGAAACCATAACCATTGGGCATGATACTACCAGTTACAGCAATATTCTACTTCATCTTTTAAAGTATGTTTTTCTTGCTTTCAGAGAGGAAAGGAGAGGGAGGGATAGATAGAAACATCAAGGATGAGAGAGAATTGTTTTTTAAAAAATATATATTTTATTGATTTTTTTACAGAGAGGAAGGGAGAGAGATAGTTAGAAATGTCAATGAGAGAGAAACATCGACCAGCTGCCTCTGGCACACCCCCTACTAGGGATGTGCCCGCAACCAACGTACATGCCCTTGACTGGAATCGAACTTGGGACCTTTCAGTCCGCAGACTGATGCTCTACCGCTGAGCCAAACCGGTTTCGGCAAGAGAGAGGATTCTTGATTGGCTGCCTCTTGCTCAGACCCCCACTGGGGATCGAGCCCGCAATCCGGCATGCGCCCTTGGCTGGAATCGAACCCAGGGCCCTTCAGTCTGAGGCTGATGCTCTATCCAGCCAAACCAGCTAGGTCTGCTCGTTACTTCTTCATAGAGTATTAGCATTTATGAGATTTCTTAAACATATATATATATTTTATTGGTTTTTTACAGATAGGAAGGAAGAGGGATAGAGAGGTAGAAACATCGATGGGAAAGAATCATCGATCAGCCGCCTCTTGCACACCCCCCACTGGGGATGTGCCCGCAACCAAGGTACATGCCCTTGATCAGAATCGAACCTGGGACTTTTCAGTCCGCAGGCCGACGCTCTATCCACTGAGCCAAACCGGATAGGGCTGTATATGTACTTTCCAACCAAGGCGGCTTCTGAGCATTGAGACACCCCAGAGCAGTCATCAGCTATTCACTTGGAAGAACCAGAGGAGTCTCACCCAGGAAGGCTGTCCAGGCTCCTCCTGGCCCCTCCTGGCTCTCTCCTCTGCCAGCCTTTTAGCCAAGATTCCCCTCCTCTGGGTGGACAGGGAAGGCGGGGACAAAGCCAGGCTGTTAGCACCTTCCCGCTACAGGCCAGAGTGGGGAGTTGAGGCTTGAGACCAAGTAATCTGAGAAGTGGGGGGAGGGGGACCTTAAACTGGAGAGGGGGAAAGGCAGGGCAGGGCAGGGAGGCCTACCCTCTCCATGGGGGAGCAGAGCTCTTAGAGAACAAAGCAAACATGAGGCCTTGGGTCTGAGTCCCATTCCCACAGGCGCGGGCTCCGTGCAGGGTGTGTGTCTGCTGCAGAGTCGCCCTCTCCTCCTGCAGTCGTGTGCCCGCTCCTGACCTAACAGTCTGTGCGGGTTGAGTAACCCGGGGAAGGGGAATGTGGGCAGAGACTTGGGAGTCCAGACAGAGCAGGAGAGCGCCGGAGTGCATGAGGACAGTGTCCCAGGGGCCTTTCCTCACCGCGGCCTCTGGTCCCGTCTCCCTCTCTGTCATCTGGTCCCTTTTCCTTCCACCCTCGTGAATGTGTGTGTCTGCTTCGCCCACTCCACCGCATCTCTCCTTCCCCTTCCTCCGGGCTGGGGACCAGGGGCTGTGAGCAGGCAAACAGCAGGGGCGGGGCTGGAGAGGAGCTCCGTGGTCAAGCAGCCGGAGAAGGAAGTGGCTTATTCCTTCCTACTTGGTGAGCTTTGTAGGGCTGACAAAACGCTTTTCCAGAGGTCATCTTATTTCCTTCTTCTGACATCCTGGGAAAGATAAACATTTTAACCTTCGTTCCTCAGGCAAGATAACTTAGAGCCTGAATTGCCTGTTTGTCAGTAAAGCTAATGTAACCGTGTATCCCCTCCCTTCTCTTCTCCTGTCTCTTCTGGTGGGTGACCACTGGAGTCAGTTATGTCTTAATCGTCCCTCCCAGAATGCACAAGGTCCATTAATAACAAGAAAAGCAAGCGTCCCTTTGGGCACTGGAGTGCTTGGGCCCACGCACCCCTGTGGCTCCCTCTGTTCCCTTCCTGGCCATGACTCGGACTCCGACAACCAGGTTCTCCCCTAGATGGTCTTCCCACCCGTGACACGTGGGGGACACACCTGTTAGGTTAAATGAGCTAAAGAAGAGAGTGGCCATTTTATTTATTTATCTTATTGGTTTTTCTCACAGAGGAAGGGAGAGGGAGAGAGAGTTTGAAACATCGATGAGAGAGAAACATTGATCACCTGCCTCCCGCACGCCCCCTCCTGGGGATGTTCCCCCAACCAAGGTACATGCCCTTGACCGGAATCGAACCTGGGACCCTTCAGTCCACAGGTCAACGCTCTATCCATTGAGCCAAACCAATTAGGGCTTATTTACTTATTTTTGAAACATTTTTTCCTTGATTTTAGAGATGAAGGGAGAGAGGATGGGAGCGATAGGAACATCAATGATGAGAGAAAAGTCCCATTGATGGGCTGCCTCTCCTACCCTCCACATTGAGGATGAAGCCTGCAACCCAGGCGTGTGTCCTGACCGGGAATGGAACGTGACCTCCCGGTTCACAGGTTCACTGAGCCGTGCCGGCCGGGCTAAACTTAGTACATTCTTCAGCCTTGGCTGCCCACTGGGGTGGGGTAGGTAAAGCTGGGGTGTCTGAGCCTGGGAGCCCCTGGACTCCTGGTTTGGGGGAGCCCCTAGGGCCTTTGAGGAGGTCTCCCCTGCAGGTGCACTCCTGGAGGGATGAGCTTCTCTCGTGGCGCCCGGGAAGTCCTCTCTGCTGTCCCTCCATTCTAGAGCAGGCATGGCTCCCTCCTCTCCTCTCTCTGGCCTTGGCTATATAAGGACCCCAGCAGGGGAATGGGTGAAGAAGGAGGTGAAGAGTTGCTAGGCAGGAGGGGAAGCCGAGGAGCCCTGTGGGGGTGGCGCTGTGGGTGAGGAGCCCAACCAGCTCCACCAGTGGTGAGGTGGTGGAGCCCGAAATAGTGGCAGAAGCTAAAATTGGCACCGACAAGGGTGCTGCGTTGGACTTGAAACCTGCAGCCTGCCCTCCTGCCCAGCTAGCAGGTCCCAAAGCCGCTAGTCTGGGCTGGGCCTCCTCCCCACCCCTCCGCTCCCCACCTTCCCCCACACACACCCTTCTGGGACTAGGATTGGTCAGGACTCTGCAAACAGGGGGTGCTCTGCCTCAGGGCACCCCATGCTTCTGGTTTCCCCAGGAGGCGGGAGACCCTGGGAGGCAGCCATGAGCTGCAGCGGTGAGCGGGGGAGGAACTTTCCCAGGAGCAGGACGCTCACCTCACCCCAGGTGGAGGGTGCCTCCAGGGCTCCTGCCCCTCCCCCCGCTGCTGGAGAGCCTGGCCGTCCCCCGGCTGGCCCTGACCGCCTGACCGGCGCCGGCTGGTTTCTGGCCTCCCGGTTCTGGCCTCACTGGCCGCAGGGAGACCTGGACCCCGGGAAGGGTTTCCTGAGCTTCTTCGCGCTCAGGTAGTGGATCCCTCTCCGCCGCAGGCATGTGGCAGGCGGGGAGGTGGACGGAGCGGCGGTCGGGAGGCCGCAGGGGAGGAGCCTGCAGAAGATGCGCCCCGCGCCCGCCCCTCCGGCCTCCGGAGGTGGAATCTAAGTTATCTTCACGCCCGACCGGAGGCGAGTCCTTCACGCCTCTGAGCCGCGGCCTCCAGCTCCCGTGGACTCCCCGCCCCTTCCCTCCCCCCGGCCCCCCTGTCAGGGAGGCTGCCCTCCCCAGCCTGTGTGCTGTGGAGCCCGGGGGGACCTGGTGGCCGGTCCCTGGGGGATGTGGGGGCGCAGGGGCCCCGGCCTGCAGCCCGGGAGGATGGAGGGCGGAGGGGGGTCCGGGCTGGGATGGGCTGCGGGGGGGGCAGGGGCGGGTCTCCGGGGCCGGAGGGGGGACCCTCCGCTGGTCGGGGACACCCGCTCCTCCCCGAGCTGCCCAGCCGGGACCCGGAGCCCCGCGGCTGGCGCAGGGGGCGCCCGCCCCGCTCGCCCCGCCCCCCCTTCCTGCCGGGCGGCCGGGGGTGGAGACTGGGTTTGAGGAACTGGCGCCGGGGCCGCGAGGGGAGTCCGACTTCCTGTCCCCGGAGCGGCGCGTGCGGGGCGGCCGGTCCCACCAATAGCTGGACGCCCGGCCGCGGCGCCCCGGGCCCCCGCCGCGGGGACCATGTCTCGGATCGAGTCCCTCACGCGGGCGCGCATCGACCGGAGCAAAGAGCTGGCGAGCAAGGTGGGCTGGCGACCCCTCCCCTCCGCCCCTGCCCCCGGGCACCCCAACCCCCGCCCCGGCGCACCCCCTCCTCTCCTCCCCCCCCCCCCCCGTCTCCGCACCCCGAAACCCGGGAGCATCCCGGCAGGGGGCGGGGACTGGTAATTGGGGAGGGGGCGGGGGGCGGGAGGCAGACCTCGGTCCACCGCCTCCGCCTCCGCCTCCGCCTCCACGTCTGGGGAGCGCGCTGGGGTTTGGGGGCGCTCGGACTCGGGGGGGCCCGGTGCCGGTGGCCCCGATCCAGCGGGCCGGTGTGCGGGGCCCACAAACAAAGTTCTGGGTAAGGGCCGGAGGGGAGGAGGGTGTGTGTCGGGTGGGGAGGGCTCGGTGCACCCCCTCCCCGGCTCCCGCCGCCGCGCTCTCGGTTCTCGGGGTCCCCACACCCCGCAGCCGCCGCCTGGCCGCTCCCCCTTTGTCCCGCCGTCCGCCGAGGGGCCGGGCGGGGCGGGCGGGTAGTTTCCCGGCCTCCTCCCCCGGCACCTCGGACGCCTCCCCCCAGACAGGCAGCGCCGCCCGCAGACGGACTTTCCAGCCGTGATTCAGCCTCCGGGGGGGAGGGGGGGCGTGCTTCCCGGCGCCCG